CGTGAACTGGCCCCGTTTAAAAAGTTTGAGGACCCCTGATCTACATGAAGCCACTGGGGGAGCTCATCCACTGGTCCAGGGACTGGTATCATCACTAGGCTGATGATATCCAGTTGTACGTCTCCACTCTGGGCCAGCCAAGTGATGCTGTGGATTTCTGGGTCCCCTAGATGTGTGGAGTCTCCATCTTTAGTCTTGGATGTGGCTGCGGTTTCCCAGTCAGGACTGGTGCACAATCTGGGGGTCCTCTTGGACTCCCAGAGCCTGCCTGAAGAGCAGATGGCAGCTATGCCCAAGAGCCTGTGACCAGTTGTATCTGATGGGCCAGTTAAGCCTGTTCCTAGATCAGGAAATCCTCCAGACAGTCACTCATGCTCTAGTCACTCCACAGTTGGACTTCTGTAATGTGCTCTACATGGGGCTGCTTTTGAAGACCACTCTGAGGCTACAGCTCATATGACACTTTGTCCTGTGAACTGCACTGGTTGCCAGTAGGCTTCCTGATGCAATTCAAGGTGCTGGTTACCACCTATAAAGCCTTTCATGACATATATGGTTTCTGCTCCTCTGGGGAGCTCAGGCAGAGTGGGTGCACTTCACTTCCCTTCAGTCAAACAATGTCGTCTATCAGAACCCAGGAGACAGATCAGCTTGACATCAGCACGTGATGCATTCACAAGTACTCAGAAAACAACATGGGTTTGTTAAAAATAGGTCATGCCAGTAAATCTGTCTTTTCTGACAAAATGGCTATATTAGTAGAGCAAGGGAATGCTGGGGATGTTCTGTGCTTAGACTTCAATAAGGCATCTGATAAGGTTGATAAGAACCTCCTTCCTGATACAATGGAATTGTGTGGGGTGGATGGACCCACTATCAGATGGAAGTGGTCCTGAATGGATCTATGTCTACAAGGAGGGAACTATGCAGTGGGGTATTTCAAGGTTTTGACCTGGGTCCAGCTCTCTTCATCATTGTCATAAATGACTCAGATGAGGGGATAGAAGGGATGCTCAGCAAATGTACGGAAGATAGAAAGCTGGGAGGGACTGCTAACACTTCAGAAGACAGGCTCAAGGTTCAAAAGGAACTTGACGGACCCGAAAATTAGGTCCTATATGCAATTCAGTCAGGCAAAAGGTAAGGATCTGCACTTTGGCAGGGAAAACCAGATGTGCCAGTACCAAATAGACATTACAGAAGGAACTGGGTATCCTGGTAGGCCGCAGTGTGTTACAGTTGCCAAAAGAGTTAATGCAACCTTGGACTGCATCAACAGAAGTATAATGTCAAAATCACAGGAAATGATAGTTCTGCTCTATACTACTCTGGTTAGACTGCACCTAAATACTATGACTACAACAGAAGAAGGACAGTGAGGAATTGGGAAGAGTATAGGAAGAGTGACAGAATGGCAAGAGGCTTGGAGACTAACTTCCAATACTCAAAGAGCTGTCACAGGGAAGCGGGTAAACAAGAACGAGTGGGTGAAAGGTTTACAGAGGGAGATCCAAACTTGCAATAAGGAGAATTTCCTGATCATGAGACTACCACACAGTGGAACAGCCTACCTCCTAGAGTCATGGGTGCTTCATCTTTGGAGGTTTTCAAGCAAAGGCTGGACAGCCCATTTGCTTCTCATGGTCTGAGGATCACCTCCTTGGGCAGGGGTTGGATTAGTAATCTCCAAGGACCCTCCCTATGATTCTGTGAAAAGGAACCCCACCCCCTACCTACCAAGAACCTCATAGATCCCTCCATGAGAAAGAGTCACCATAGGCCTTGCAGCAGCTTCTGCCAAGCTGTGAAAACAGAGAGTGGAGGGTTGGCATCCAAGTCAAAAGGATTGCCCCCCAGCCACATGTCCACTTTGGAAAACTTAATCTTCCATTCACAACCATTTCAGAGTTGTATTTCCACACTCTGCAGCTCCAACAACATGGCAGAAGAAAACTTCTACCCCACTGAGAAAGCCATGCAACTGCAGATGGCTCTCTCTTTCCAGGGCACCCAAGTGGCCTTAGCAAGGAGCAGTCCTCTTGTTCCTGATTTGGCATTTTGTTCCTCCCTCCGCACTGGGAAAGCAATGTACACAAGCAGCCAGGAGGAGAGGAACAGAACCAGGCAGATACAGAGGGTGAAAAGGCTGCTCTAAATTCTTTCCCCCACAACTTCAGGAGAGAGAAAAGAGAAACAAAGGAAGGAACAGCTGCACAACAAGCTGATTAAGCAGCTCAGAGGCTCAACGTGAGGAATTGGAAAGGTTTCCCCTCAGATCCACCGTTGCTCTCCCCTCTGGTGACCTTTTGCTGCCTCCTCTTTTACCAGCAGAAAGGACATTATTTCGTTTCTTCTGAAAACACAAGATGAGTTTATCTACAGGCCAAAGCAATGTTAAAAAAGATATTTGTGCCTAACTATTTTAGCAGTTTGTCTGATACTTTTGGATGTTTAAAGCCTGACACACTTCACTAAAATGGGACTCCAGATGATATACATCTAAAAACAAATAAATGAATCCCAAGAATAAAATAATTATTATAGAGCCTAAACTGATCTAACTCTAAAATTGGCTGTATTTTCATTCTCTACCTGTGACACTGTTTTTCTCTTCATTGGTATCTTTGAACTATAAAAGACCTTATAAACAGTAAGACCTTTTACAAGACTGCTGAGCATGGAGATCATCCAATAGAAGACAAGATCAGAAAGACAGAAAGCCTTTCTTAAGCTTCTTCATCTCTTTCCAAATCACAGAACCTGCATTCCTTGGAACAAAGTACAAGCCTCTTTGCTACCCTACCAAAATCCTGTCGACTGAAAGGGAAACAGAGGAGTCTGACTGCAGCTAAATAGCAGCAAGGCCATTTCTGAGTTTCATCTTCTTGCTGACGATACTCACTTGCCCAGCACCTTGCATCTTTCACAGCCAAAAATGTTCCTTGTTTCCCTAAACATTCAACTATTCCTACCTAACGACGTATAGATGCTATCCTGAAATTGGAGTAAGACATTACTGCAAAGAGAATGGAACATGAAGTACTTACCAAATCCCACAGGCCAATCTGCCCCCACTTGTCTCCAGCTGCCACCAGAGTTCTGCTTTCGGATGGATGGACAGCCACAGAATAAATCCGGCTTTTCACCACTTTTGCAACATGTTCTTCCCTGAGGACCATCCCACGGAGATGAATTTTGTAACTGGGCCAAAATAATTGACATGTTAGTTTAAACAAAAAGCAAGCAAATTTAAAAAGCAAGTTAAGATTAATTTCAGAGTCACCTTTCTAAGTTACATGTGCTCTTCTGATTCTTCTTTGGCTCCACCTAGTTAATGGTTAGAAAACAATGCAGAAATTACATATATTAAGTGTTCAAGCTCTCTTTCAAACTTACTGGTAAATTCTGACAATACCTGACTTATTTTTGCCCACATGTGGAGAAATGTGTCAGCTTCTGGCTCCTGAACAGTAGCAACCATTTGATGAGGTCCAGGTGGCAATCGGGCCTTTCAAAAAAGGAAGAGACATAAAAAGCAGTGGATTGCTTATATCTTCATTATCAGTACAGTCCACAAAACAAGCGGCAGGCAGAAACACTTCACAGATTCCTACTCTAATTATTTTGCTTTGTTTGCACAATCCTTGAGCAAAGCTAAATTCTAAGATGTGCTCAAAGCAACCACATGCTTATTAGCGAGGTGGCAGTGGGAATCCAAGACTACTGGGAAGAATTGGAAGTCCCTGCACAAGATAACCGTCAATCAGAAAAGCTTTGCCAGCAACAGTGAGAAAGCCCCTAACTTGTCTGAGCCGCCCAGAAGGCCAAGCACAAGCACATCTTAACTTGCAACTCTCCCCTTTGGTCATCTTACATGCTCTTCAACAGAAGATTCCAGCTGTGCTTCTGCCTCTGGTAGGGGAACACCCAGTGGATCTATTCTCTGCAAACGCATGGATCTTCGACAAGTTGTCTTAGTTTCTGCCTTTGGAGATTTAACTCTACCGAGACAATATAAGTTCACCTCTAAAATCTCGTGCTTCAAAGAATACATTCATGTCATTAAAACATTTGCTTATGCCCTGTTTGTTATTTTCATTTACTTGCTGTTCTTGCTGTTTTAATTCTTACTGTATTTTCTATCATTTCTTCCCTTTGCTATCACTAGGGTTGCTGTACTACAATCTGGAGATAAGAACTCAGTGTGAGCTTCGCTAGATGAGGCTGGAGACCAAGACCCCTGCAACTCTTCCCCAGCTGGCTAACCAGATGCATGTGGATTGTTTCCTCTGGCCTATGAAACAGAGGGGGCTGCCAGTCTTCTCCAAGAGCCCCAAGTGGCCCCTCCAGAGAAAGCAAATAGTTTCCTCCAGCCCAATCCCCAGGCTACACCCAGAACCGTAAAGAAGAAAATTGCCACAACATGGCATTGCTAATGCCTCTCAGAATATTCATCCACGTTTCTTAAAATGTGAGGTCTATAGTAAAAATATGCACTCAAAAGACCCTTGGACAGATCCATATTTTTGTATTTCCCCCTAAATAACTTCTTTTCTGGCTGGTCTATAAGCATTTTTCACTATTTCCTCTCCCACCCGAGAGCTGCAGAGGGCATCCTAGAGTTGCAAGTGCCCAGTGAAGGCATCAAGTTCTGTCCTCTGGCAAGTAGAAGAACCCCAACTAAAGCTCCCAGATAGATGTTACCCAGCTTGAACACATCCAGTGAAAGGGTACCCATAACCTCTCTGAAGTAGGATCCCTCTTACTGTTTGGAATTGTTTCCTAACACTGAATTTGTATCTGCCTTCCTATAACTAAAATCTGCTATTCCACATCTTTCACTCCAGAATCCTGACAGAGAACAAGGCTTGACCTTCATCTACAGCCTTTCAGCTATTTGAAGAGAGCTGTTTGCTGCAGTGAACGAAAGTGTATGGGCCCTTTAGAACAATCCATAACCTGCAGTACCATGGCAATCTGAGCTGTATCAAAGTACTACTAATAAATAAGGAGACACTGGTTAAGTAACACACCAAAGAGTATACTGTGAAATTTCTCTAACTTTTTTTCCTGGTTCTTCAGTATGTTAGATATCCTGACCCATTTTGGATCATCTGTGAATTTAACAAACATTCACCCACCTCATCGTCCATACTGTTAATAAAAATGTTGGAGAGTACAGGACCCAGGGCTGAATTCTGTGGCACTCTATATCTATGATCATCTATATCTACGATCAATGAGCCTTCTCAGAGCATGATTTCTGAGTCAACAATGTATTCACTGAAATGTCCTACCATCCAACCTAATTAGCTTCCTAACCAGAGAATGACACACAGTATTTTGCAAATGCTTTGCTGAAGTCAAGGTATGTTGTATCCATAGCACTCACAATCCACTAAGCAGGTTACTTGATCAAAAAGATTAACTTCTCTATACCAGTTCTTGATAAATCCATGCTGACTAACTCATGTATTGCTTTCAAGAGACTTGCAGATGAACTGCTCTAGAATCTTCCAAGGAACAGGTCAAAGTAACCAAATCTTTCTTTTTCACCTTCTGAAAATAGGGTCACCAGCCCTTCTCCAGTATTCAATTTATTCTCCAGGATTTTTCAAAGATATCGGGTTTCAGTCATTAAATTTAGCAAGATTTTCTAGGTTCCTGGATCCAAAAGGTACTCCCTAGCCATGTTTTTATCTCCAGTCCTGTCCTTCCACAATTCCCTGATGAAACAACCACCATCTTTTGGGAAAAGACTGAGAGAAAAGAGATGTTGAGTATCAGTTTGTCAAATCTACACCCCACCTTCCTTGAAATACTCCACCGGGACCTCCCTTCATTTTTCCCCAACAGCAGCCTTGCATGGTAGGTTGGGCTGTGAGAGAGGAAGCTTCTGTGACCAATGGCAAACTTGAACTCAGGTCTTTCTGGTCCTAGACAAACAGCTTAGCCACTAAACCAAACCGGTAGTTCCAAATATTTGCCCAAAATGGCCTGTAAGAACTTGGTTGATACCAGGGAGCATTTTGCTGCTCTTATTAAGCAACTGATAGACTGATTCTTGTCTTAGTTTCTTAACACTGCCATTACACTTCCAGTCTACCAGTAGGTTTTCTCCCTTCGTGCCTGCCCACTTATTATTTTCAGAGCTTAACTGAGCCACCTTGGCCTCTCCTGCTGCCCCCCATTTTTCCTCTCCTTTACGCTCTTCCCCATCACGAGCGTTGCTCCCCAGCCACTTGTTCCGTGTGCCATCCTAACAGGCATTGCTCCATTTTTTGAAGTCCAGGATATGTATTTGAGCACACTCGGATTTAGTACATACGTTCGTGCGAATCACATCACTCTCTTGTAAGGTAAGCATCATTACGCTAAGAAATAAAAAGCAAAAGAAATAAAAAACAGGAAATAACGGGGGCTGGGGGTGGAGAAGGGAAATATGCCGCATTCCCTCCCCAGCCCATTTGATCCCAGCCCATCCTCGCTGCTGCCTTTTGCTCTCCTCGCCTCCTCCTCTCCGAGGACCGCCCTACCTCCGTGTAACGACCCCGACCGTCCCCATCTCCCGCGTCCCCTCGGCCTGTTCGCTCTTCCTTCACGTCTGCAGCTGGGCCTTCCCTCACCCTGCAGGGACCGACCAACCACCTCAGCGCGCCTCCGGCCGTTCCCTTCTCCTCAGCCCGCGCCCCTTCCGCGCCTTGCCCCTCACAGGCCGCCTGGGTTCATCTCGCGAGGTGTAGCGGCTGCGAGAAGCGCGATCTTCCCGGGGCTCCGCGGATGCCGCGGGGAGGGCCGCCGGTCGCGCGCCACGAGAACCTTCCCGCGGGGACTGCCAGGTCTCCGAGCCGCGGGGCGGGCGAGGTACGAACGGGCAGTTTTACCTCCTCGTCCCTCGCGCCTTCCCCGTCGGGGTCATTCTTCGCAGTCTGGCGGCGGACTGGAAGGGGAGGAAGAGGTCAGAGGCGCCCGGCTGCGCGGCTCCGCTTCTCCCGCCAACGCGGGCCGC